ATACTTCAGACATTGAACAGCGATGTGAAAAATTTGAAGGAAGATCATTTGTTTTGTTTAACTTTAAGTATTAGATTCTTCAGAACATTCTAGCACTTTTGGTAAGTTTAATTTCCTTCTTTTTCTTATCAAATGACAGTAAAATGACTTTTCACAACACTACTAATGTATTGTTGACCTTCCTTCCAGACTTCTCTCACACATTCACAAGTTTTTTCTGGAATTTCTTTTTTCTTTTTTTTTTTTTGCTACAAAGATGATGCAATATCCAACAGACTTTACATCTTGGAAAATATGTGCCAAGACCAGTTCTGGGTTACTTCAAATTCAGAACATTTACACATAAATGTGTGTGCACAAATTTAGATATAAATAAAATATATCTGTGAAGATAATCTAAATAAAGAAAAAAGAAACATTTTTATATTTATACATTTCATTCCTTAAGGAACTTTATCAGGCTAAATGTGGAAATTTTATTTTGTAATTTGTATTTATACACAGAATAAACATGGAAGAAAAATATTGTTTATTGTTTTAAAATTTTAAATTTGAGAATGCTCAAAAATATGCTGCTTTCTCAAACCAATACACATGATACTTATACTACTAAGATACTGTGGTACCTATACTACTAACTGTAGTACCTATTCAATGAATTTAAGAGCAGTACTAGATTGTCAGAAAGGTTTCATCATTTTACAGTTGAAATCACTAGATATAACTGTAAGTTCTATGGTAACAGTTTCTTCTTGCACACTTCTCACATGTGGAACTCCCTTCTGGCTTCTTGTTTTTGTTGCAGGAGTATGCATATCATGTTTTGAGGTAGAAAAACATATGTCTCCTGGTATATTTATCCCACAACAAAAATGGCAAACTCAGAATGTGAATCAGAGTAATAAATTGAAAAAGTAATGACAAAAACTATATATATATATATATATATATATATATATATATATATATATATATATATATATATAAAACAAATGATAAGTATGTATTAACAAAACAACGGTATAAATTGACAATCAAATAGTGTTGATGGTTACTGAACAATGAACATGAAAGAAAACATTTAAACTAGTGAAGGTGTTTGTGTAAAAGTAAATGTAACAAGTGTTGTGTGATAGACACATGTATATATGCCTGTGTGTGAGGACCAAAAGTAGCGAACATGCCTCAGTGGTAGAATTGTTATCTATATGTAATCTACATCTTATTGTAACTGGGTGAAATAGGAAAAAAGATGATGACAGCGAATGTCATTTCCTATTCATAGGCCTAGGGAGCAACACCTAGTGGCATTTATTAGGAAAGTAAGTGGGGTAGCTTATAATGCTCCCTTCCAGATGTGGAGAATTTTATTCTGCCCATATGTCCATACATCTTTGTTTTGTCCCTCATAGGCTGAAAAGAAAGAGAGTCAGTGTGGTTGCAATGTGTATTTAAACATGTTGATGAAAATGTACTTGTGTAAAGTGCTGTGTCTTTAGGGTGCTGTATAATGTAACATGCCCTGAAAGTATAGAAAAGGAGAGTTCAGCAGTAGGTATTAAAATTTTATTTTCTAATACTCCACATTGAATTGATTTTCGTTTGGAAGGCTTTGTTTGTTTGCTGTGTGTGGATGTTGGCACACAAAATTTTAATAGAAGTTTTGATTTGTAAAATTGTTTAGTGATGATGGTGAAATTTCTACTGTGCGTCAAATACATGTCTGTGAAAACATTTGAAGATATCTGATATTATTGTTGATTTTTCTTGGAGATGCAGCTATCTCTGGGAATTATTAAATTGTACTTGCAGATTTCTTAGTTTGTTCCTGTTAACATCTTTGAGTGATTATGATCAGTGAGTCACCTTTGGTATTATTTCACCTTTTATCTGTTGAGCCTAGGAGAAACAGTGCTATTTAAAGTTGAAATTGGAGTTAACTTTCATGGTATTTGAATGGTATTTCTCATGTGGTCTTGAAGAAAATGAACTGTGTTTTGCTTGCTCCAAACTTGTATGATGAAAGTCATATTTTTCATTTTGTCAAAAACATTTTTTGTGGTGTCTGCTAGTTGAGGTGAAGTCAAGTGCAATGGCCTGGTAATGAGAAAGGGGTCAAGCAATAGAAATGAGATGTGTGTTTGTCTGCTGACCATTTCAGCATAGGAGTAATTGCAATAGTGATTAGGGATTTTTGGGGGGAGGTTGCTAAAAAATCTATTTGCTAACTTGAAGAACATCTTTTTCAGATAGTTATGTTGTGTAGATGTATTTTAGTTTTTTGAAATTTACAATTTTGCTCTTTTCAAATCACAAAATTTTTAACTGTATGTTGTTTTTGTTGGTTGTTTTTTTCTGTCCGCTGTGTGTGGTTAGGGTAATTAGAGAAGTTGATCAAAGTATTCTTCACTGGCTCTTGGTTTGTAAAAAATGTGTCTAAACGATGCATGAGTTTTTTTTTTTATGAATTCTTGTGGGTTCTTGTATCCAGGAGAAAAATAATGCGTCATTGGTCACCAATCTGTTGTGGGAGTGTGTAGGTTGCTTTTTGAGTTAGAAAAACGTGGTATATGTTTATCCCACAACAAAAATGGCAGATTTAGAATGTGAGTTTGGGTAATATATATATATATATATATATATATATATATATGATAATGTATTAACGAAACAAAGGTATACACAGACAATAGAATATTGTTGCGTGTAACAAGTATGTTTGATAGACACATGTGTATATATGCATGTGTGTAAGAGAGTTTAAAAGTCAACAGAGGAGCAAGCAAATTGAACAGGTTAAGATTGTAGTGACTGGGGAAGAATCCTGTTTCCTATATATGGCAGCAGTATTCATTTTCCAGTTTGATCTGGATCTTGTAAAGTTCAAGGATAGCAGGAGGAGTCAGCTACTTGGAACATGGAACTGACCATTTTTCTACCATCTTTAGTGATGGATTGTATATATGAGTTACACTTGAGATTTGGGTTGAGTTTAATGCCCAATATATGTTCAAGGCATGGAGCTTCCCTGAAGGGATACCTGTTCATTGAGACCAGTGAAAATTTTGCATTCGTTCTGTGATGATAGAATGTCACTAGTTTAATTTTCACAGCATTGAATGTGACCAGCCAGTTTTTCTACTCACTGAGCTGTTAGAGTTAAGTCAGAAGTAAGATCATTTGCCAAGCTTTGGTCATCTAGAGTTTAGTGTATGCACCTATATATTGTATCATCAGCATAGATATTCACAAATGATCAGAGTATAATCTTAGGCAGTTCATTTATACAAAGTAGAAAGAGGATTGAACTGAGATATGAGCCTTTGATGATGCCTGCATTGATCGATGGGCTTCAGAGGATTGGCCATTAAAAACTACCTTCGGGGACCTACTCATTAAGAAGGACTTGATAATTAAGAATATTCTATCAACAGTGAACTGAGCTGATTGAAATCCATACAGTTTGTTGCTTAGGGTCAAGATTTTTGAGAAGTCTTGAGACTTCCCAGGCTGTGATAAAATTATTATTGAGATTGTGCTCAGTAAGATGGGGAAGTTGGGATGGCCTTGATATATTGAGTTAGCAGCAAAGATCATGGTGAAGAGCTTCACTTTGGCTGCAACACATTCAGAGGTGAAACATAGCTAGCTGGCTGTTTTTTTGCTGGAATTTTTTCTGGAATATAAAAATCTCCACTCCAGAAAGGATCCATTCTGAGATAAGGGCAGCAGTTTTGGAGGCAGTTTTTGAAGAAGGCTAAGAGAGGAGCTTTCACTATGTACCTTGATCCCTGTCTTTCTCTTTATCTTTTTCCTATACACTCCTCTTTATTCTTATTCTCTGTAACCCCTTGCATACTAGCGGCATTCCCACCTTGCTTGGGGAAATTTGCTTTAAAAAAAAAAACAAACATCTGAAATTTTCCCAAATCAGATTTTGTGTACAGAAAAACTTTTCTAGGGGATGCCTTTTGGTTTGGCATCAACTTTGACAATGATTAGTGAATGATCTAAAATGCCAATGCTGGAGGAGGGGGCTAAAACTTCATGACAGTATATGAGAAAGAGGTCAAGGAGGTTTACCTTTTGCATCAGGAATGTTGGTGGCTTCTTCAATTATCCATATTTCTAGCTAACAGTGTAGTCTATGTTGTATTTTCCTCCTCTTTATGATGAATATTTAAGTCACCACAAACATGAAAGCTTGCTGAAGGATATTCAGTAAGGATATTACTAATCATCTCAGTGATTCAGTTGAACATCACAGTTCCATCATACTGAGGACAATACAGAATGAAAATTTAAGTTTCCCTGTGGACAAGTGCCACACAGAAGCATGTTTACGGGCAAACAGGGTGCTCGTTTTTTTAAATCTCTGCTATGTGGAATACTGTTTTAAATATAAGAATCAAGACCTGTGATGTTCAGCTATTAGAGGTGGGTTTCTGCATTGGGTTAGAGTATCAATACCAGTTTCAGACAAGAATAAGATGTCAGGTTTGGCCTCGAGAAGATGGCATGAATTTGATCTTTGTTTGCCAATTTCTCACTATTAAACTACATCAGTCAGTTATGTGCTATGTGTGATACACGCATAGACGATCATGTATCTTTCAATACATGACTGACGAGGCAGATATTTTTCCACAGTAGGTTGCCATTTCTTTCTGTGGTAGACCAGTTGCCATCCAAGGCTACAGAACCCAGTCTGTCCTGATATTTACCCATAGCTAGGGAGAGAAGAGGAGGATTCATACTTTTTCCAAGGGTATTAGCACGTAAGTGAATGTAATGGATTCGACTGGAATTCGAACTCGGCTCTCTGATTCTTCAATCCGAGCTGCTATCCATTACTCCACCTCACATCCATATTCAATCTATTTTTCAAGAAATCAGGAAGAGACATGATGGATTTTTTTTATTGATTTGTTTTTTACAATTTATCAATCCTTCTTAGGTTATTTAAAGCTGAAACTTATTTTGGTTTGTAAGAGGTTGCTTACATTACTCAGTGTTCCCAAGCGGTCTCCCATCTCAGAACTGACCAGGTGTGACACTGCTTAACTTCAATGATTGAATGAGAACCAGTGTTTTCAGTGTGACTTGAAGCCAGGATGGGACCTTTGATATTTTAGCCTTCACTTCCATACTCTACCTCTTTTAATGAATTCTTATGGATATTTTTAAAGTCTGTGTTTTTGTTTGCTGTTTGGTTGGTCTGCATTAAGCTTTGGCCAGGAAAAAATATTCAAAAAGGATTCTTTTTGATTAGTTTTCTTCCTTGACTATTTATTTCTGAATACCAATTGCATAATTTTTTTCTTCTTCCTCTTCTTGAGCTCATAATTTTGTTACCATCTTCCATTTATGGGAAAAGTGAGTGTTGGCTTCAATGTGCAATGATTCTTTCTTCAATTAATGTCTGGAAATATGTTTACTTATTCGTTTGAAACCAAACTGCCCATTTTGATTTTCTGATAAGTTTGTACTTATGCTATGAATACATGAATATGATCAATAGTCTATATTTGGCTCAGTTTTATTTGTGTACTTCTATGAATAAAAGGCACTGTCTGTGAGTGCCACTACTCCAAAATGGTAAATGCTATAAACATGATGTTTTTGGCATAAAATGAATAGAATTTTGCAAATATGTTTTAATGTTTATTAGACCTTTCAAGACATTTTAAGCCTTTAAATATTTAAGATTTAAATTTTGAACTGTATTTTCATTAAAAATTTAAAATGCTAAAGCTCTACAGATTAAAAAAAAATTAATAAACTTTCAGTTGTTTAGAGTTCCACCCTTTCTGATCTTCTTTTTTTTTCCTTCGTAAATTATTTTGATTTAAAAATTTGACTCATGTTTTATCCATATTATTATTTAAACTGTAATCAAGCCATTTATTTTATCCTTTTTTTTCTTTGCAATGATGTTCATGTACAAGGCTCAAAAGTCACTTGTGCTAGAGTGTTACAGTGTTGGAGGCAGAGTTTATAGGGATATGTGTGTTCTATATAATGGTTGAACCTAGACTTGAACAGCTTGCTTATAAGTGTTTACTTATATTTTCTTTATTATAATAGCAGTACATGTATGATAATGATAACAAGGATGAAGATAGTCATTTAAATAAAATATGTAATACTGAAAATACATCACCATAAAAGTTTGTATAGTATGAAAGGTCAGTAAATATAATTGAAGCATTGCGATAAAAACAAAGATGAGAATACAAGTATGAATATTTCAATTAAGAAGTTTAGATAACCTCATTAGTTGTCTTTCCTTGGCAATACCTACTTAGGTTGAAAATGTGGAATACAGCTATTTACAAATTATATATGACACAAATAATTTTCCTGTTTTTAAAAACAAAAGGAAAAAAACACAAAATGTCTGTAGATATTTCTCGGGCTAAAGCTGATGGAAAATAGATGGTCTATGTAGCTGATTGATTATTGATTTTTCTTGTTTTGTTCAAACATTGAAGAATAAATGTCATTTGTTAGCAATTATTTAATTGTGGCCAAAAGAAGGTCACTTTTCTAAAACAGCCAAATATTTTTACTGATGAGAATTTTGTTCAACTTTCCAATTACTTCCCCCCCTCCTCATAATATCCATACATTCTAATATGAGGAAGGGTGCTGAAAAGTTTTCAGATTGACTATAAAGAGGCCTCCCACAACCCAATATTTCGTGGTTTGGCCATTTGGCCAGTTTTGTGAAATGGATTGAACTGAGAACTTTCCAGCATTATCTTTCTCTCAGTATCTGTTTATATTTCTGAGATGAGGTATTACGTACACTATTTATTTGATAACTGACATCCATTAGACATGGCACATGGAACTAGAACAGTCTACTGCAGTGAGCGAAATAAAGGGTTCAGTTTGACATTCCAACCACCTGAAGAAGGCCGGAGCGTACAAAGCCAGAAACGTTGTAATAAATATGGTAGCAAAGATGAGGACAATAGTCCGAATAATATAAATAGTTATCTCTCTCTCTCTCTCTCTCAACATATATATATATATATATATATATATATTATTTATTCATTAACAGACTGTTTTGTACAATGTGATTTTCAAAATGAGTTTCCCTTGGAGTTTCCAGATCTTTTTTTCCTGTTTTGCAAAAGGAATCTGTCAGTATGCGGACAGTTTGAAATAATTTCATTTCTTTTGTTTATTAACTTTCTTCAATTCTGTGATTTTTAATTTCTCCTCCATACAGAGATTGTAATTTCTTCCTCTGGTTTGTTTATAAAAATATATTCCTTCTTTATTACTTCATTTTTAGTTCACAGTCTTGTTTAAATGATAGGGTTTTCAGGCACTTCCAAAAGTGCCGCATGCTAAGATCCTCTTCCCAGATTGATATTATCAAGAAGTCACTAAACTGAGATTTCATCCTACTCTCATAGTCAGAATACTAACACTCTAAAAACTTAGCAATATGCTCACAGATATATTTTTTTTAATTATTTCTCTCTGAAACTCATTATAGGTAGCTAAAATTTTTATCTGCACTTGAGGTCAGAGACCACCTGTCTATAGAGACAAAACTTTAAGTGTTATTGTTGTATAGGAATAAAGTATCACTGCCGACACTGGAGTTTGAACATGGATTGCTCAAATGCAAACACAGGTGATCCCATTATTGAATTAAATGGATCACGTGAGAAGCACATAAATTGGAATTAGTATGGCACCTAATGGATCACCATTTCTATCCTCTATTACTATACAGTTCACTATTCTCTATACTATTCACTATTTCTACCCACTGATCACTATATGGATTACTATTTGGTGGTTACTTTTTGAGTGAGTATTATCAAGCAAGCACTATTAGTGTAAATGATATTCAAAGGCACCTGATACTAGTATTGTTTGACGGCATTACTACAGTTGTATCTGCAGTTACAAAGTCTCTACTACAACAGTCATTACAAAAGTGATGATGAGTATTCATTGACATTACAAAAGTGGCAATGAGTGTTCATTGACATCACAAAAGTTATGTATTTCATTAGATATGTTATTTTTTTTTAAAATGAGCATCACATGAGCAAGTAAATGCAATATTAAATTCTAGGAATAAAAACAAATTGAGGGTGGAATAAGAACAGTCTATCCTTCTGGATTGAATAAAGGGTTGAGGTTGAAATTCTAAGAATGTTACCAAATATGACAGACACTTGATACCAATATGCAAAGTGTCTAGAATATTGTTACCATCACAACTAAGGTAAATTTTGAATACAGGCAAAGCATCAATGCCTACTATCTTGAAAGATAAAGTGAAGCTCTTCACCATGATCTTTGTTGCTAACTCAATATATCAAGGCCATCCCAACTTCCCCATCTTACTGAGCACAATCTCAGTAATAATTTTATCACAGCCTGGGAACTCTCAAGACATCAAAAGAGAGAATGTACCTGAATAGATTAATACAAATAAAATTTTGGCATCTCAAATCTGAAGTTTTGTAGATGAATCTTTTGTTTTACTCATTTTTGATATTTTTATACTAAGAATTAATTTATATACTAGTTTTTTTTTTTTTTTTTTAAGCATTACGCCCCAAGCAAGGCGTGAAGCCACTAGGATGCAGGGGGTTGCGGAAGATTTGGAGCGAGAGCAGATAGGAGTGATAGAAGAAAGGATGAGGAGAAGGATAGTGGGTAGATCAAGGTAACTGGAGATGTCGATTGACATTACATTTGAATAGTTGGAGGTTATAGCCTTCAGGGAAGCAGTAACTGGGGAGGGTGTTCCACTGGCGAGAGGTGCGAGGTATGAAGCTATTGGAGTAGATGATTATTGGTGTTAGGTCAATTTATGTACCTTTATTGGTTGAATGTTATGGTTATTTCTCATTTTCATCGTTTTCTTGTCTCCTTATACTTTCTCTCTCTATTCTTTTTCCTCCTTTTTTTTTCTCTGTTGCCTCTGAGTGTCAAAGATAATGTAAGAATGTCATTTCCAGTATCACAAACCGGATATTTTAGGTTTTTAGAGTAATTCATTTTCTCAAATGTTCTGGGGTTTTCTTATTTGGGAAATGTTGGCATAAATGTCGTATATTAGGAGGCCTGGTGGAGTAATGGATAGTAGCTTGGATTGAAGAATTGGAGAGCCGAGTTCAAATTCCAGTCGAATCAATTACATTCACTTACATAGTAATATTCTTGGGAAAGGTATGAATCCTTGTCTTCTCCCTCCAGCTATGGGTAAATAGCAGAAAAGAAATGGCAACCTACTGCAGGAAAAAATCTGCCTTCTCAGTCATATATTGAAAGATACATGATCGTCTACACATGTATCACGCATGGCACATAACTAACTGACTGAGGTATATTGTGTTTTTCTTTTTTGTTTAAATTATTGTTATTTTATAACTAAGGCTTAAATAAAGAGATAAACTTGTTTCATGAATTAGACAAAAAAGATGACAAATTATCATCTATTATGTAAGTGTTATATACCGTACATATGAACACTAATGAGTATATCTCAGTCTTCATAAATACATTGGACACTATTGTAAGTGGGGGTAATATGCTGTCTAAGTAGTCCACCACTAGCTGTGGTTACTTTACTTCATATCACTGGCAAGTATTGCATTTTATTGACGTTATAAAGATTACCATTTCATTTCCAACCTCCGTTTTGGTTATTCCTCATTCAGTAACCCTTTCTATGTTACAACAGTAAAACACAGGTAAATTTTGAACTTTCTTGATTTTTTTTTTTTGTATACTTTGAAAATTAATACTAAACAATAAAGTACCTTGTGATTGTATCTATTTGGATACATTCTTCTATGAAAAAGGGTCATATTATGAACAAGTAAATAAATTATTAAAGACTAGGAAAAAAATGGAGGATGAAAATAGAACAATCTATCCCTCCAAATTGAATAAAGGATTTGGTCAGAAATTTCCAGAAGATTACCAAATATGACAGATACTTTAAGAAAAAGAAAACATTTAAAATAACAACCAAGCGAATGACAGATTAAGATATAAACATGTATAATAACAATAGTTGTATCATACTTTACATTGTTATATTCTTGAGTCAGC